AATCTGATGATCGAAAAACGCGAAGTGAAAATGTGTCTCGGTGTCGTCGTTCCGTAGCATCGGGTGGGCGTTGCGTGTATTTAAGCTCCCGCGGCATGACGTCTCAATCCGGGTTACGGGTAGTGGAATTTCCGCTTACCTAAGTTCCGGTAACATGTAATATCGTAGTCAAAATGTTAATGCACAGGTTTTTGTTCCGGGTGAAGGAAATTCCTTTTCATAGAATTCCGGGGATGGGAATATTTACTGTATATTGAATAGTGGTGATAGATATAAAATACCAAAAATAAACAGTTCATAACCGAACTAGTCATAATATTTCTCTCCAGAGTGATAAATAAAGTTCAATGTGTTTCAGAAGCCCCCTCCGTGAGCCATCACCTTACCGTGGTGGAGGGGTTTGCGTGCCCCTATGATCCTAGGAGCCAAGTTGTCTGGGGCTTTATGCCCCTGGCAGGGTCACCCATGGCAAACAGATCCTAGGTGAGGGACCAGACAAAGCATGGCTCAAAAGATCCCTTATGATGAGTAAAATAAATGGATTCAAGTTTCTCTTGCCCGGATGCGGGTCACCGGGGCCTCCCTCTGAAGCCAGGCCTTGAGGTGGGGCTCGTTGGCGAGCGCCTGGTGGCTGGGCAGATACCCATGGGGCCCGGCCGGGCTCAGCCCGAAGAGATAACGTGGGTCCCCCTTCTCATGGGTTCACCACCCATGGGAGGGGCCAAAGGGGTCGGGTGCAGTGCGAGCTGGGCGGCAGCCAAAGGAGGGGACCCTGGCGGTCCGATCCTCGGCTACAGAAGCTAGCTCTAGGGACATGGAATGTCACCTCTCTTGCAGGGAAGGAGCCCGAGCTGATGTGCGAGGTAGAGAAGTTCCGACTGGATATAGTCGGACTTGCCTCCACACACAGCCTGGGGTCTGGTACCAGTTCTCTCGAGAGGGGTTGAACTCTCTTCCACTCTGGAGTTGCCCACGGTGAGAGGTGCAGAGCTGGTGTGGGCATACTCATTGCCCCCCGGCTCAGTGACTGTACATTGGTGTTTACACTGGTAGACGAGAGGGTTGCCTCCCTCCGCCTTCAGGTGGGGGGACGGGTCCTGACAGTTGTTTGTGCATATGCACCAAACAGCAGTTCATCATACCCACCCTTTTTGGAGTCCTAGGAGAGTGTGCTGGAGAGTACTCCTGCTGAGGACTCCCTTGTTCTGCTGGGGGACTTCAATGCTCACGTGGGTAATGACAGTGAGACCTGGAAGGGAATGATTGGGATCTTCGGGCTGAGCCCACCCGATCAGAACTCGAGTGGTGTTTTGTTACTGGACTTCTGTGCTCGTCACAGATTGTCCATAACAAACACCTTGTTCAAACATCAGGGTGTCCATATGTGCACTTGGCACCAAGACACCCTTGGCCGCAGTTCGATGATTGACTTTGTAGTTGTGTCATCGGATTTGTGGCCACATGTTTTGGACACTCGGGTGAAGAGAGGGGCGGAGCTTCAACTGATCACCACCTGGTGGTGAGTAGGCTCCGATGGTGGGGGAAGATGCCGGTCCGACCTGACAGACCCAAACGTATTGTGAGGGTTTGTTGGGAACGTCTGGCGGAATCCCGTCAGAAGGAGTTTCAACTCCCACCTCTGACAGAGCTTGGCATTGAGTCCGAGTGGACCATGTTCCGTGCCTCTTTTGTTGAAGCGGCCAATCTGAGTTGTGGCCGTAAGGTGGTTGGTGCCTGTGGTGCGTGTTGTGGCGGCATCCCCCGTACTCGCTGGTGGACACCAGCAGTAAGGGATGCCGTCAAGCTGAAGAAGGAATCCTATCGGGCTTTTATGGCCTGTGGGACCCCAGAGGCAGCTGATGGGTACCGACTGGCTTAGCGGAATGCAGCTTCAGGCGAAAACCCGGACGTGGGAAGAGTTCGGAAGAGTTCCGGACGGCTTTGAGGAAACCACCATCTGACGTCTCAGGAGGGGGAAGCAGTGCACCACTAACACTGTGTACAGCTGCTGACCTCGACTCGGGACGTTGTGAGCCGGTGGGCGGAGTACTTCGAAGACCTCCTCAACTCCACCAACACGCCTTCCTTGGAGGAAGCAGAGTCTGGTGACTCTGAGGTAGGCTCTCCTATCTCTGTGGTTGAAGTCACCGATGTGGTTAAAAAGCTACTCGGTGGCAAGGTCCCAGGGGTGGATGAGATCCGCCCGGAGTTCCTCAAGGCTCTGGATGTTGTGGGGCTGTCCTGAGGGAGTGAGAGTGTGATCCCAGAAGGATCACACTCCTCAGCCTCCCTGGTAAGGTCTATTCAGGGGTGCTGGAGAGGAGGGTCCGTCAGCAAGTCGAGTCTCAGATTGAGGAGGAGCAGTGTGGTTTTCGTCCCGGCCGTGGAACAGTGGACCAGCTCTACACCCTTAGCAGGGTCCTCGAGGGTATGTGGGAACTCGCCCAATCAGTCTACATGTGCTTTGTGGACTTGTAGAAGGCGTTTGACCGTGTCCCTCTGGGAGTTCTGTGGGGGGTGCTTCGTGGGTATGGGGTACCGAACCCCCTGATACGGGCTGTTTGGTCTCTACACCACCGATGTCAAGGTTTGGTTCGCATTGCCGGCAGTAAGTCGGAAT